TACATTTTAAAATTGCTATGGAAAACAATATTTATTGAAATAAATCTATGTGGGGAAAAAAATTGCTACAGAAAACAATATTTACTGAAATAAATTGCTATGGAAAACAATATTTATAGAAATAAAGCTATATGAAAATTGTAAGGAATTAGATAGAGCTTATTTCCCATGGATAATCTATGCTAATACTTTGAACAGACACAGAACCCTAATAAAAAAAAGTCTTGTCAGGGGTGATCCTAAAATATCTGTGGGCTAAATTAAACATTTGACATGTGTAGTTTACCTTTGCCAGCTCTGCCTATGGAAACATTGTATGTCGGCTCTCCATTATGACTCTTTGTCCTGATGTCCATTGTCCAGTCGCCTTCCAGTGGAAGACTGTCTCTGATCACAGAGCACTTCTTTTTCCCTAAAGTCAGCCCACTGGTGAAAAAGGCCTCTCGGTCTTTGCCAACAATGACATCGATTTCATCAGGCTGAAAAATGAAGTGTGAGGAAAAAAAAAAAAACACAAGACATTTTAAAAAGTCTTCTCTTCAATTAGGATTTAGTATCATGCAGGTTTACACTGTCTCCACTGCAAATCATACATCGTACTTTAAAGGAACCTTGTAGAAAACCTGATTGGATCATTTGATCTCCCAGTATAGCATGAAAGAAGCCAATCTGACCCACTCTAGGAGTTTTATTAATAAGTGTAGTTTAGCTTGAACCACTGTTTTTTAATGACAATATAATTATTCCAGTTCTAATGCGAACAGTATTAGATGAGTATTCACAGGCGACGGGACGCCATCTTTGTGTTCCTGTAGGGAAAAAACTTGAAGCACAGGCGCCACTGTCTGAACTTCCTCCTCTCATGGCCTAAGACTGCAGCTTATCTCAAGACTGATCAGACACAGTCCGATCCCTGAATGAATCCCGGGCTTATTAACGATCTAGCGAGGGGATCTCTGCTCATAAGGGGGCTAGAAAAATACAATGCACAACGCGTGGATATGTTAACAGAGATCGATAATGCTGAATAATGCAAAAGGAAATGTGTGATTTAATCAGAGCCAGACCCGTTTACTTCAAAAGCACTCTTTAAAAATACAAAAGAAGCTTGCTAGATGGGTTCGGCTGTACAGCGGTTGCACTTTAACTAGGTTCTTTAGATAAGCATAAAGTGGTTCATTGTGATATGAGTAATGAAGTCTAAAGGCCGTGGCCACAGCCCTGTGGTGCTTTCATCTGGGCCTCGACCCATTCAGTAGAAACACATCAATTTCCTCCCGCTCTTTCAATTTTAAGAGAAAAAAAATCGAGGTTGAAGTGTACTGTTGCCGTTTTGCCAATGATAAACACGATAACAACAGCTCGTTTTATTGTAAAATATGCTTGAAACGGTTAGCTCGCGCTGGGCACGAGACCGGCTCCCCGTGCACGCGTGCTAAAGCTGACTAGCTTGCTAACACCCGAATCCGTCCGCTCGCCCTAACACACAAATTACACTTCAAATTAAATCAAAACCAAGTGTTAACCTCGCAACGGGTGCTAATCTAGCAAAAACTTACCGTTATACCGCTAAAAGTACCCCCCTCTGACGATGCCCAAACATATTTGGCGTCCGTGTAGCCAACAATGGCGGCATCCTGGCAGCTGCCATCGGCCATCAGGTTATCCACGTAGCTTTGCCAAGACATTTTTCTGTTATTTGTAATGATATATAGGACGTACTACACCCACTGGAGTGGATTTAACGCTACACGTGCTGAAGGACTAGCGAGGGTTGTGCGGATGGAGGGTTTTGGCGTCTCTTGTGCTGTCCGGCTCGTTGGCTTGTATGAAATCTCAGCTCGGGCAGGAAAGAAAGCCGACGGACTGAGACAGCGCCTGGGTGTAGTCCCGTGCTATATCCCTCCGCGCAGACGACTTACCACCGACGCTGCACGAAAATAGACCCTCTCTGATGTGGTCGCATCAGCTCAATTTGACCATCACGATGTAATTAGTTTCTCAACGCTAGGAAATTGCCAAACATGTCTAAATTGATTATTTTCCACCCCCTTTATGACTCATGAATTAATTACCATATCTGTCCACATGACGTTTTCTGATATAACGTGCAATTACTAAAGGGAAAGTTCACTCGAAAATTAAACTTTTGTCAGCATTTAGGCTATTCGCCCTAATTTAGTTCTAAACCTGTATGACTTTAATTTCTGTGTGGAACACAAATGAAAAATTTTGAATAATGACGGTAACAAATCAGTTTAGATTAGCCTCCAATGACTTCTAATTCTGGTTAACTAAAACTAAAACCATAAAACCATTTTCGTTACTACAATAGTATATTGTATAGGTCTCTCTCTCTCTCTCTCTCTCTCTCTCTCTCTCTCTCTCTCTCTCATTTCTTACTTTCCTTTAGTCAAACTTGAAAATGGCAAAAATACACAAGTACTAAACTTTAAATTAAAATATAGAATTATTATAGAATTATTTCACAATATTAATAAAAAGCATAATATCTCAATGACACTAAAATAACATGAGGGAAAATACTGAAAAAACCCCACAAAGTCATTCAAATTAATTGTCACTTTGAAAAAGGAATTTGTTTCATATCATGTCAATTCAAATTTTCTCGGAATGTAAACAGCAAGCTGTACTTTAACAGATATTTAGCTATATATGGTAGAAACATTTTTTTAACTTAAATAACTCCTTTTTAAATCTACAAATAACTAAACTCTGTTATGACAAGTACAAATATAGTGCTCATGTTACACCCCACACCACAACAACATGCTGAGGTATAATAGAATAGGTGGGGTGAGTTGTTAATTGTAACACCAGGGCCTTTGTCAAAAAAACAGAGATAAAGAGGACTGGAAAGCAGTTTCCTTCAGTGAAGGCAATAAACACATGAAGACACAGAAACCAGTGGCTCCCCTGTGTAAAACTAACATATGTTTTGTTCATTCATTTATGTTGTTAATAAATGTAGGCTACTAATTTTGTTAATCACATTACATTGTTTTTAACTCCAGCCCATTTCATTGCAACCATTTTGAAAGAATAAAGGAAGCCCTTTTAGGAAGAAAAAAACAGAAAATTTACTAAACAATCAGGTAATATGGAATTATTGATTCAAAGAACAACAGTTAGTCACATTTACAACCATGTCAAACATCAGCCAGCCCAATTTTGTGGAAAATAGTTCTAATACCTTGAGCATTAGGTCAGCCATGATATTTCTACATTTTTATATATCGAGAGCCTCGATTCGAGACTCTGCTGATTCAGATGAATTGTGGCGGGAATATGTTTGCAAACTAAATTAAATGTAAATCCCAAAATAATGTTGTTTGCCCAGCTCATTGACTTCTACAGTCACATCAGCTGCTGGTTTACATCCATTGTCATTCATGTCAGGACCGATCATGTGGCAAACTATGACACAAGACACACAACAAAACCATGACATTTACAGTCATGGGAGGCACACCCATGGATATGTTATCTCAACTGATTTTATTTGACAAAGCCAAGAAATATTATTCTAATCACCTGTCACTCCCCTAAATTCAACAGACAGCGTAAGATAAAACATAGTAAAATATAAAAAGTTTGTTGCATTATTTGGATTAGTTGCTGCAGCCACTAGCTTTAGTTGCTTAAGCATAAGACGAAAAAAGTGGTTGAAGAGAATAGGCCTACACATAAAAAAGACCAAATTGATTTTACTATAGTCTTTTGTGGAGCACAATTTCCAAAACGCTTAATTAGAGCTTTAAATTGAATATGAAATATGTGAAAAATCCACCAGAGGGGTGTCTCCTCCTCACTGCCGAACTAAAGCACTTCCGGCTTTTCCTCAAAGTGGGTTTGTGGTCGTGTGAATTTACTGTGTGTTATTTCTATATTGCACTTGGCATGAAGAAAACGCAATCATTATATTTTGATATTTCGAATAGAAAAGAAAGATAAAACCGCCAATATCCTGGATTCCAGAAGGTTCAAGCTAATCAGAAGTGTGTGTGCAGAATGCAATTGCTCCCCATACTGGTCATAGCTGAAATTCTATACATAAAGCCACTCAACAAATATAATAAAAACACATTCATCAAAATGATAACAGCACTGTATAATTTCAGCAGGTAGAGTGGAAATAGTTTCTGAAATAAATATAAATATCACTTAGGACTGAGAGTCTGTGATCACTCAGTCAAGTTGCCATAAAGCCTTTAAACTGGTTTCACTGTAACTCTCTAAAATTAGAATATTATTTGTGAGATTTTTTCCCCCTAAAATGTTGGCATATTTTTGTAATAGCTGCTGGATAAATAAATGAACACAATAAAGCAAGAATCAAGTATAACAGTCAGTAATGTTTTTTCCTCATAAATGCCAGGAATGTCAAATGTGTGTGTACATGCTAATTTTATATAGGCTAGTAGCCTAATTTAAAATATAATAGTTTATTTCATAACAGGCTCCCACTGTAACTCAACTTAGCCTACAGTGAAAATCGTAATATGATTAATATTTGTATTATTTTGCCAGGATATTAGTGGAAACTTTCGCTTGCTTTTTTATGTAGGCATGAATGACTTTCATAAAACATTTCCCCCCTTTCCCTTGTCTTTAACTTGTTTATTGTTGTTGGGCATATGTTGTGACGTGAAAATTTAATGTAATCTTAAATGCTAAATTTGTTTTTAAATCTTTAAATTATGACTGCCTTTCTGTTAATGTTCATCAAATAGCCTATATGAATAGGCTAATAATAATAATAAAAAAAGAAACGTTAAAAAACATGCTTTCAAAAAAATATTTTTTTCGAGAAATATTTTACAGGATTAAAAAGTGCTAACATCTTTTGAGCAGAGTTAATTGAGTTGAGTCCCGTTTTGTGCATTTATTTAATAGAAAGGGTAAATGAGCTCAGCTTACGTCGTTAGTTTGAGCGTAGGAAGCCGTATTCACGATCTGTTTACGCGTCATGCCTGTTGCGCTCTTTTCCCAGCATGCATCGCGAAATTATATAGCCATCTTGTCGGGAGGTGAAATTTTTAGATTTTCTGTTTCCGAAGTCTGCCAGTTAGAGTTAGCCACAAACTTTAATTTCGAACCGTTTTCGTAGTTGTTTTGTTAGTATGCCCGAATCTAGTCGCCGAGTTTAGTGTCATAGGTCGGAGGCGGTGTTTCAAAGCGCTCGTTCAGTATGTGTTTGATACTTATATGTAGGTAGAGTGAGAAGTGAGAGGCAGCAGGGGGAGTGAACGCAGCCGATTCTACGACAGCGGCCTTACACACACACACACCGCCCTTCTGGATCACCAGCATATGAGGATAAGTTAATAACCAACACGTCATCTTTCATACACCGCTCGTGGAGGTTGTTTTCGTCCGCCGTTCACGCGTCGAAAATGCAACAGGAGAGAAGAGGAAGACTGATGACGCACGATCATCTCGAAAAACTGTGAAATTTCGGGTCCGGTGCCGCAACAGTCTGCTGTTTTGCGAAGTCAACAGCGTCTTTAAGGGGTCTCGGTGTCATAAAAAGCTGTTCAGCATGTCGAAGATGCCGGCCAAGAAGAAGAGTTGCTTTCAGATCACGAGTGTGACTCAGGCTCAAGTCGCGGCCAACAGCGCGACCGACGACACCGAGAGCCTGGACGACCCGGATGAGTCCCGGACAGAGGACGTGTCCTCCGAGATCTTTGACATGTCCAGGACTGACTACGAGCCTGAGGTCTGTGACATGAGCGCCTCGGAGGAGACTTTGAATAACGTGTGTGAATCAGAGGGGCAGTTGCCTGCTGCCGCCCCCGTGAACGGTGGGTCTGTCCCGCGCAACAACCTGGGTCACCAGGGCATCCAGGCCTCTAGTGCTCAAACGGCAGGCACGTCTCAAGTCACAAATTCATCAAGCGTGACGACCGCAACCAGCTGCAGTTCACGCTTCAGGGTCATTAAGCTTGATCATGGCACCGGAGAGCCCTTCAGGAGGGGCCGGTGGACCTGTATGGAGTATTATGAGAAAGACCCGGATGGCTCTGTGATGAGCAGGACTGTGGATAGTATAAGGCACACCAATGTGACGGAGCACTTAGCAGATAGGGACAGTGGTCTCGGGGCCACCGTCGGCTCCGTAATGGCTCAGGTGGCACCTGACGCAGGTAGCGACGGGTCATCTTTCACCGGCCCGGGTTCCTGTTCACCGGAGACCTTTAGTAATAAGCCGGTGCCTCTGTCTACTCAGCAGCAGGTGCCGGGAAACTCTCATGTCACTGTCCCGCACAGTCTCCATCCTGATGGAGGACACCCGGGTGCCCACCTTCAGAAATCTCCCAGCATCCCTCCTCCTCAACTTTATCAACCCCAGTCTAGTGCACACCACCTGCAAAGCCAACCGGCTCTGATATCAGCCAGTCAGCCCGAATACACCCAGCGTAACGTGCCTACAGTCACCCAGACTCACCCCGGAGCAAGCCTTTCTGTCGGGCATGCCGTCAGTCAGGGGTCATCCCCCGTTCCCATGCAGGTCCTGGGTACAGTAGAAAGCCCCGGAGTCCCTGGAGGTGTTCCTTTGCCGGTGTCGTCTGTCCCAAACCTGGTGCAGCATGTGGGGCTTTTGAGCAGCATCAGCCCTATATCAATTCAGCAGTCACCAGTGGGCCAATACCAGGCCTCAGGCTTGTCAACGCCACCGCAAAGCACTCAGAACATGCCCACAGCACCAGGGACGGTCGGAGGAGGTGGCGTGCCAGCCTTGAGTTTGCTCTCTGCTCTGCCAGGATCTGCAACAGTACCCAACCTTAATACCTCCGCACACAGCCAAGTTCCCCGCAGCGGGACGGCAGCGGGCATCGGCTTTTCTGCCATGGGTTTCAGTCAGACGGATGAGCCCAGCCAGAGGATGTCTGATGCGTCGGCACAGATTCACAGGACAGATATGATGAAGCCCTTAATCACAGAAGGCCTGCAGTTGTCCAGTCCGACTGTTAACAGTCTTTTCGGAATATCCATTCCCATTGATGGGGAGGACGACAGGTGAGGTACCATTCATGTTCTGAATGATTTAAAGGGTTTGGCTGCCTGAACTTTCACTTTTTACACAGGGTTCCCAAAGTCATGGAAGACCTGTAAATGTCAAGGGATTTTAAAATGTATTTCCAGCCCTAGAAAACTCATTCAAATGATTATTTAGTCAATTCAATCAATCATGAGTTAGAAATTAGTCTGCGTGAATGACATCTTTATATAAAAATTTATTAAAAAACCATCTTTGAATTTGGTCAAAAGGCATGGGAACCCTTCTCTCTCTCTCTCTTTTTCAAATCTTGATTTTGTTTTATTATATTTTCCAGAGAGTGTTTTTTTTTAATGCATACACAGGCTCATGAAAGATTTCAAGGATTGTTGTTTGACGATAAAGTGATCACCCATCATTTACTCACCCTGAAGATGTTCCAAACCTATATGAATTTCCTTTTCTGTTGAACACAAACAAAGATATTTTGAAGAATGTCGGTGTTGTAACCAAACAGTTGATGGACCCCATTGACTTCCATAGTATTTTTTCCCCCATACAAGTCAATGGGGTCCAAGACCAACATTCTTCAAAATGTCTTATTTTGTGTTCAGCAGAAAAGGAAATTCATACAGGTTTGGAACAACTTCAGGGTGAGTAAATGATGATGGGATTTAACATTTTTAAAAATAAATGTAGCATAGATTTGAAATAAAGCAGTCAGAACAGCCTTTAGTCGTTTCATCCTGGTAAGTTTCCATGCAGTGTTCTTAGCATTAATGTGCAAATGGTTGTATTGTGAGGAATGCAGTGACATGTGATGGATGTGTGGTTGTTCTCATTAGAGTTGCTATTCCATCTCTTGCTATTCCACTACCAGGAAAAAGTTTGGACACACCCACGGTTTTATTACTGTTTCTCATTTTTGAATAACAGCAAAAGTCATTAAAATAATGCCATTATTTAGTGAAAACAAATCTTCATGAGGAACATCCTGCTATTCATAAACGCTTAAAGGAGTTTGCGTGCTGGACACTTGTTGGCTGCTTGACCCCATCCATTTAAAAATGTTTTGTTAATGTTTCATCATTCACTTGAACAGGAAGGTAGGATGTGTTGTGATGCTTTTTATCAGGTTGTTTACAATGGCCACAATCGTTGATATTAAATCGTTGAGATAATCGTTGAGTTAAATTTAAAAAAAAATTTTTTTTTTTGGTAATGAAGTTGGTTTAGTTTAATATACGCTGCCACATGTTTGGGGTCAGTCATTTATATCCCAAAGTTTTTGAAAAAAAACAAACAAAACTATTATGGTTGCATTTACTTGATTAAAAAGACAGAAAAACTGTAATATTGTGAAATATTACAATTTAATAGAACTGTTTATTTTAATGTTTTAAAAGTAATTTTCCTGTGATCAAAGCTGGATTTTCATCATCATTACTCCAGTCTTCAGTGTCACATGATCCTTCAGAAATCATTCTGATATGATGATTTACTGCTCAAGAAACATATCTTCTTATCATTGTTGAACACAGCTGTGCTGCTTAATTTCCTGGATTCTTTGATGAATAGGAAGTTTAATTTTAATTCGAAACATCGGTTATGTTTTAACTGTTACTTTTGATCAATTTAATGTGTCCTTGTTGAATAAAAGTATTAATTTCTTTAAAAAAAACCCTAAATTACTGACCCCCAAACAGTAGTCTATGAAGAGTTCAGATGCAAAAGCCTCTAAGTGCCATTTGAAATTTTCTTCTAGAATGATCATTTTTATCAAGCTTGTATATTTAAGTTCAGTGATTTTACTTAAATGGCAATGATGATTACCTATTAATTGTTATTTAAGTGAAATTACTGAACTTAAATATACAAGTTTGATAAAAATCATCATTAAAGAAGAAAATTTCAAATGGCATTTAGAGGCTTTTGCATCTGAACTCTTCATATGTAGGAGGACATAGGTTGAAGTTGTGAGGAATGTTCAGTGAAAAGATATGTTTAATATGTACTAATATGACAGAACTCAAACAAGCACGCAAACAAAAAATGTTTCTTCTTTGCTTCCGGATGTCACAAGAATGCCAGAAATGAAAAAGGGGGCCGTGCATATGCATATCTGGCGACACAGTTTCAGTTGAGAAGTGTCGCTGCTCGGCTTCCTCTTAGATGCTCGACTTTCAGTTCCAGCGTTGCAACTCGTACACAATATATCAACTTGTTGGCGTACTCTAGAGGAAATGGTGAACTGTCAAGTGCTTTAGATGACTGTGGCTTCAGCTTATGTACTAGTCAAAGTATAGTGTGAGTAGGCAGTGGCCTTTAAACTCAACGGCTGGTTCTCAGTCAGCTCGATGCCTCCTACGTGCCTGTCACTCGCACAGCCCGGGGTTAAAGACGCTTGTCACTAAATGGTGACACCTTTTGTAGCTGATATGCAAAGGGGGGGTCTGTGATAGCGGAGGCCTATCACGTAGCGAACAGTAGACCTTTCTCTATGTTTTACTTCTAGAGATAAGGTTGCTCTACAACATGGTCGTTAACGTTTTTAAAGGACAAAGCCATCACTTCTTATTTATCACTCTAAAGACATAGTTGTCACATTATTTACTTTATGTTTTTGGGCACAAGGGTCATCTGACAGGCAGTTGTTCAGATAACGTATTGAGTGATTTCCCCAAGACAGCATTCCTGTTCAGGGATGACTGAAATACTTTGTGGATGCCATGCATCTGTCTTTGTTTCTTCAAACTCCATGAAAGTATTTAAAAATTGTTCACCCAGCAGATGCTGTTATTGTTTTCCTTTAGTTGCCTAATGCACTTAGATTTATACTTTGTTGTAAATATGGTTTGGTTGGCACAGCTCACAACTTCACAGGTTTTTAATCTGTGCATTATGTGTAGAGCTGGTCCCCCCCCACCCCCCATTTTTTAGTTGTTTTTGTCATTTTTTGGAGATTGATCATAGATTTAAAGTAGGAATGCACAGTAGGAATGGCCACCGTATCGGTATCGGCCGATATATGTTCATTTTTTTTTGTTATCGTGCCGATTATGAATTATTTCCTTCAGCTGAGACGCTTCTGATGTGCACGGTACGCGATTTTTTTGAATTGCTTTAAATATGACTGAAATCACTTCAAAAAGAAAAATGCATTTAAGTGAAACATAAGCCTGTCATATAGGCCTAGGCTACATAAAAATTTGTGCTTGGGTCATGGATTTTAATGGTGAGACTTTTTTTTTTTTTAATAAGGCTCTCAAAAATGGTATATTTTCTAATAAGGCTCTCGGCCGATATATCGGTTCTTATCGGCTTTCAAAAAAAGAGTTATCTGTATCGGCAAAAATATTCATATTGGTGCATCCCTAATTTAAATAATATATATAAATTTTGTTAAACATCAGTCAATAGCTAGGCTATCTTAAAATCAAAATAAATTTAAGAAATTAGTAAAAGGTTGGTCAATAAGTATATTTTATTTTATTTTTTTAAATTGACATTTTAACAAAAATATTAAGCAGTGCAACGTTGATGAGCATTTCTAGTAATTTAATCAGCATATTAGAATGATTAAGGGGATCATGTGACACTGAAGACTGGAGTATTGATGCTGAAAATTCTGAAATCTGTAAACTTAAAGAGAATGGTCTGTTTATTTGGCTCAAAGTTCATTAAAACAACTATTTCAAAACCTGAACTGATCTGACTGTATAACTCAATGTTTTAACTAATTGAAACAGCTGAATAATCGTTCCAAACTTAATGATTAGCTGGCAAAATAATCGACGATTAGTCGATTAATCGTTAGATTAATCGATTATCAAAGTAATTGTTTGTTGCAGCCCTACTGTAAACACAATCAAAGCTTAAAAAACACACACATGAAGAAAGGGACCTTTAATTATAACAAAATATCACTTGTTTTGATTTTTTTTTAGTGAAATATGACATGGACTTGTTGTGTGAAATCCACCCAGTTTCAACTAACAAAACATTGATTTCGTCACATGGTCATTCACAACATAGACCAGGTCCAAGGTCTTCAAAGTAACAGTTAGTAATTACTTTGTTGCATATGTGATGTTGTTTTGACTTTCTAAGTCTTGGGATTATAAATCTAACATCTGAAAGTGTTTTCCATGACTTCGCTCATTGTGCAACAAGAGATCAGATTTTGCCCCATCTGCTGGTTAGAATGGGGAACCTCTTCTGTTTTTGCCACCTTTTTTAGATATGATGATGCACGCTGGCTTATAATATCCCTGGCAAATAACCAGTTATGTAAGGCAGACCAGTTGAATATGAAGAATTTTTTTATGAAGGCATAAAAAAAAGTTTGGTTCCGGTTGGTTGTCAGTTGAGGTCATGGGTCGGTAGGGAATTTTTTATTTTATTTTTTATTTTTATTTTTTTTCAGTGGCAGCAAGGAATGGGTAGGAAATTATTCAGGACTCGACATTAAAGGGATGGTTCACAAAATATTTTTTGATATGTTTTAGCTTACCTTAAGGGCATCCAAGATGTAGGTGTTTTTGTTTCCGCAGTATTTTCAATTTTGTAATTTTTAGGTCAAACCAAAAAATTTCAAAATTGAAACTACTGTGGAAACAAAGACACCTACATCTTGGATGCCCTTGAGGTAAACTAAAACATATCAAAAATTAATTTCAAAGTGAACTATCCCCTTAAGCCTTTTCACGTGCTTGTCCTCCGGACAAGTAAGTAAATCTGTCAATCACTTGTCAGAGTAAAAAAGTTGCTTGTCCGAATTTTTAAAATGTATTTATTTTTTATTCTGAATAACCCTAATATTATTAAATGCCCTATAGTGTCTTATTATTCTAAATAATTGAATTTATTGATCAAATTTAGGAATTTAAAATGAAAGATGAAGCATACTGTTACCCTAGGTAGGGCTGATCAAATTAAATCATTTACACTGAAAAATTACAATTTCATAAAATAATGTTATGAAATTGATTTAAATGTGCAAATAAGAAATATTGGAAAT